AGAGAGAGAGAGAGAGGACAATATTCAAGATTTATCGGGGCAAAGAAAAAGGAATGGTGGTGGTGGTGGTTAGTTTTATAGGATCGGCGGCGTATACGGGACGAGAGTTGATGAATTCGAGTGACAATGGAAAGAGAACCGGTGGAAGGCCCTTCGGGCCGGGCTCGTAAATCGAGGCTCGTCAATAGAGTAGACGAGGGGGTTGGCTGCCCCCTTTTTTTTTTCAAAGAGGACGGGCGATCGAATGGCACCACCTCGTTTGCCTTGTGCTCGTCGCTTCCGGGATCGCCTCGACTCGCGTCGATTGTCGCGGCCAAAGTGTCGCGGTTTAGTTATTTTAGTAGTTAATGGCGCTCATCGTTCGCTCGACCCTCTCCCTTCGTTTCGCCGATAGCGCGAAAACAAACGTTCCTTGGAAATTTCTAATTTCTTTCTTCTTCCTTTCCTCCTTGAAAATCCTTGAAAACGTCGCTGAAAAAAAAAAGCCCCATTTCCACGATTATTCCACAGCTATCGAGCTGTTATCGAAACTGGTATGATTGATTCTCCTCGTTCGCGTTGCAGATAACGAAAACGGTGGCGGCGAGCTGTGCGTGATCGACCGGGCGGAAGTTCATTATCTTCGCTCCCATTTTCGTCTGTCGACAGAGGGACAAACGATTAGTCATTAGGAGTTTTTTTTTTTTAACGCGTATGGAAATTTCCGATAGAACGGTGTGAAAAAGCGCGGGAAGGAAGAATTTTCCAGTCGCTCTGTTAAACGTTGGCAAGAGATAAAAGTAGGTGTAAACCGGTCGAAAGAGTGCCGCACGCAATTTATGATTAAAATTTCGTTAAATTCTTCTCCTCTTGTCGAGGTTGGACGGTTGGAAGACAACTCTTTCTCTCTCGGACGAGGGAAAGAAAGAAAGAAAGAAGAAAGGTGAAGGAAAAGAGGGAGAGACACGAATAAAACGTATATTCTTCTTCTTCTTCTTCTTCTTCCCTTTTTCGAAACACTGTAATTCGTCCGCGATAGTTCTAACGCTGGACCGATCTTTTATAATACCAGTGCAAAACCTGCAATAATAGGCTGCAGCGAAATTTTCGTCGATTTACCGTTTTCTGGCAACCGATCATTTGCTCGATTATCGTATATACCGCGGCTCCGTATGCATCCGTACCGTATATCCTTCAACTTTCACATTCCTTCCACGGGAGGAGGGAGGAGGGACGCGATGCATCTTCGAAATCCTCTCCGAATCCAAGTGTTCGAGACTTCCATGTTCGAAAGCAAAATAATTTACGCGAACAATCGTTGAACATATCCACTCACTGCTTATCGAACCCTCCCCCAGAATTCCGAAATTCCTCTCAATTCCTCTCGATCCAAAAACACAAAAAAAAAAATTCTCAGAACCCGAGAGAAAGAGACTGCTACAGTTTTCCTCGCGAGAGTCGAGAAACCAAACGCGTAATTGCGAATGGCGCTACTTTCGAGGTACTGATGCGAGGGGGAGGGGAGAAGGAAGGGGGAGGAGGGGAGGGGGGAGGTTGCCGATGGCAACGTGACCGCGATCAGCCACCGCGCTATTCAACCGCGTATCCAATATTCGACAGGGAGCCGGCGAGGTGTTGCGGTAATACACGATCGGCGGAGGAATGCCATTTGCCGGTGCTTGATTTATGCATTACAGAGTGTGTATATAGTGGAGGTTGCCCGCGCTGTCTATGTAATCTGTGGGGGATTCGAGGGCGTGTGGGAGATCGGGGCAACGTGAGTATTATTCAAAGTGTTGCTCATTTGGACACGTGGACAGGACACGAGAGGGGAGGGGGGATAAATCGGGCTTTGACCGTATTCAACGACACGTGACGACACGTGGCTGCCGCACCGCGTTGCGTTGCGCATTTCGTGGCCACCAGGTTCCTCCAACCCGATCGCGGGAAAATCGCGGGATTTTTCGTTTCGCGGGGAGAGGGAGGGGGATCGAAGGATCGCGAAGACTTGGAAGGAGACGTAGAAAAATTTTGTCTCGTATCTTTTTCTCTCTCGGGTCTCTCTCTCTGTTCGATCATTGTCCGACTCGGAAGGGAAAAATCTACTGGTGGAGAGGACGCGTAAGAAGAAGTTGCGGGGATACTTTAAAATGAATTCTTTCGGGGAATTTTGTTATATCGTGTGTGCAAATAAGAGGCAGAGATTGAAATGATTGAAAGAAAAATCGTTTTGCTATTTTGGAAAATAACCTTGGAAAATAAGAGAATAATTATTGATGTTTTCTTTTTTTTTTTATTAATTATTATATTACAGAGACTGTTGTAAATGTAAATCTTATCGTAACTTTAATCCATATCTCCGTCCATTGCACAATTCGCAGGTGTATTTATAACAGGTGTAATATTAAATCCGTGATCTCATCGGTAGTTTTTATATAAGAATGTAAATGGATAAAATTGACTTCTTCCCGGACTCCGGTTGCTAAATGTAAAAATTCCTCTAAATTATACGAATGCCTCGATCAACGTATCCCAACATCCGTACGTAACATATATAATATTATTTTCTTATAAAATTTCCACTGTACAATAAATATCGGATATTGCGTTCTCTCGAATAAACGAATAAATAACAGGTGGAGAACGAGGAGAGATCCAAAAATGGATACGCCACCAACTAATTAGATGTGTATTCCGCGGATCGTTTTTTGCGCGAATCTCTTCAAAGGCGATCGCGTTGGTTTTCACGTTGATGGAACTGAACTCGATCTGTATATGAATCGGTGCGGAATAGGAAACGATCGAGTTTAAGATGGAACGCGGAACAGATTCTCGAGACGGTTTCTTGCAATCCGATTCTTCCTTCTTCTCCTTGTTTTTTTTTTTTTTGAGAACAGTCGACTCTTTCGTTATTACGTCAATTTTATTACGTGCGCGTAAAGAGAAAGAAAAAAAAAGAAAAGACAATAATATAATAATCAACATGCGATAACAATCGGTTAAAAATCTCGAATTCTCGATTCGATTGACCGCGATACGTTGAACGTGAATTTGACGTGATACTCCGCCCTTTCTCCGTTCCTCACGTTCTCAGATCGTTTCCAAACCGTTTCCAAGCTTTGAACGAGGCCTCTCGTGGACAAAAGGCGCACTCGAGTTGCGCCACCAGATCGCTCGCTACCAGTTGCATGTTCGAGGACCGTCGAGCAAACCACTCGAGCTTCGTGAAATGAAAATCTTTCTTCGATAGTGTATTTAACAGGGTCGAGTGTACAGGGTCGAGTCTGATGGGTGGCCACGTACCGGGTGGTCCGCGAGTAACGATTAAGAAGGAACGGGAAGAAGGGGAATGTGTCGTTTCTAATTTACTTAATATCTTGTAAATCTTCCCAAACGAATCATCGATTCTTTTCGTCGAATATCGATCTTGGGGATAATCGAAAATAATGATAAATAAAATTCGATCTAACGTGTAACGAGTGGATCGGCCCGTTAAAGTAAAAGCCACCAAGTTCCTCCACTCCTTTCGAACAGGATCAGGAGGAATTCGACACCCCGTGAACACCCCGCGCGAGGAACTCACGAGGTTCTTCATTCTCCACGTTGGCCATTTATGGGTGGCGTGCCACTTGACAGGACGCACGGCGTCACGGGGTAATCAAAGTGCCATTATCCATAGGAAATTGTAACCCCCGATCTCTCCAATCCCCACCGACTCCTTTTCACTCTCATGGTATATTCAGTGTATCGCGACTTTACTCTTTCTATCTCGAGACCGTAACCGACTCCCCTCGTCAACCCTCGAATCCTCGTCGCACCTATACACACACACACACACACACACACACAACAATATATATATATATGCACACGCGTCGAAGGGGTGGTGGTCGTTGCGCAAACCTCTCTCTGCCTCTCTACCCTCTTTTGTAACGCGCGTTACACGGCCTGGCCGAGCGAGGGTCGCCGAGTGTCAAAAGCGGAGTCAACCGGTGAAAAATGGCCCCGACTTGTCACGAAGGATTCGTGAAGTAATCGTAATTCTTATCGGCAAGGGAACTACCTCGACTTTGGTGTGTAATTGTCCCCGTGACGCATCGTGTGCACGCGCGTACGATCGTAAAAACGAGGTGAAACATCGGCCACGGTTTTTAATTTCGATTATCAGCTAGATTTCTTTAGCCGCGCTTCGATAACACACGCACTCGTTCGTATCGTACGTTTTCAAACAATTTTTCAAAATAAATACGCGTGCTTGGCAGGAGTTGTTCGAGGGAGGAGTCGTTGTGAAAAAAAGATTGTCACAACAATTTTATTATACATCCTCGAAGATGAATATCCTCCTTAATCCCGCCCATCCGATCGCGGATGGAGCAAAAATCCGTGGAAAATGAGTTTTCGTGGATAATCGATAGCCGCCTCCCCCTTGATATTTAACCCCGTAATTAGCGGGATGTCACCGGGCGAGAGTTATTCCCAGGCGAGAGCCGCGTGTCTGGTCGCGCCGAATCCTCGTGTTTCACGCGTGACCGACGGAAGCGCGGCACCGACGTGGTTTCCCTCCCTCCCCCAGAGCGAGAAAGTATTCGAGAGGGTGGAGGAGAGAGTGGTGGTTATGAGAGAGAGAGAGAGAGTGCAGCCTCCGTCGCAACCCCTCCGCTGGGGGTTTCCGCGGTAGCGTGATTTTCTGATTAGCAGCGGGTCGACTGGTTGCGGTTAACCGTTGTTAGGTTACCGGTCAATTGGTATGCATGGGCTGGGACTCGTGCCCACGGTACAGCCCCTGAACCCGGCTAACCTCCCCCTCCTACGCCGCCGACTAACCGTGTCTACTTCGCCACCTCCTCGATCGTTGGATCCTGGATCGTTTCCGCGTTGCGTTCGTTTCCACTTTTTTTTTTTTTTCCATCGGCCTAAAATTTTCCACCGAATTTTTTTTTCCACAAGGTATTCGGGGAAAAGGAGATGAATATTATTCCATGGGGAGGGGAGCTGGTACGACTTTATATATATATATATATATATATGAATACACAGTTATGTAGATAAGTTGTGTGACGATGTGCAAGATGAAAGGGAAAAATGTGAGAGAATTTTGGGAGAAGATGTCGGGAGGAGAGAAATTGATAATTCGAATGGTAGAGAATAATAATGTATGAGGTGTGCGAGCACGAAAAGTATATTCTATATTCATGGGTGACTCTAAACCACGGATGGTTTCGAGATCGGGAAAAAGATCGGGGGGCCTCCCTTCCATCTCTCGTCATTGACGAGGCGATAACGTGTCCGGTGTTTCGGGGTCCTTGAAATTTTCTTGGCGAACGAACCCTTTCTTCGCGTGGACTGCAAAGTGAACGCCGGTCCCACGACCGACGAGAAATCGACACTCGCATCGGTTACGTTTCGAGGGTGCGATCTCCCCTCGAAAAGTTTTCGAGAGGAGAGGCGTGCAATGGTCGAGAGCCTCCTTGACGAGGTATTAGAGTCCCTGGGTAATAGATTTACGACGTGGAGAAAGGTCATTCGATACTCTATTGCGTGATACTATTGCAGCAAGGTTCTTCAACCTACAATTGGTGGCGTACGACTTTTACCGTTGCCCTAAAATGTCGTCAATTTATTTGAGGAAGGAAAAAAGAGAAGATTCGAAAGTACGCTCGCTCACTTTCGCGTAATTGTGCTTTAATCCGATTGAAATCCAAGTTTAACGATGACGAAGAACAATGACGATTTCGAAGAAGCTTAATTTAAAACGAACGTTTTAAATTCTGGAAGGAAGAAAAAAAATCTAACGGATCATCGACGATACGTTTAATTGTGAGGAAACGGGAAGGAAGCAAAGATCAAACGTTCAAACTTTCTTCTCCCTTCTTTATTCTCCCGATCCAGCCCCGAGAGGCAAGTAGCAACGACTTTTAAAACGCAATTTAAAACGCCGTTGCTGCCGCTTTTGTGAAAATAATCAAGCACTCTCCGTGCCCCAGTGTCCCAGGTGATTCGATCGGTTCCTCGGAACTTTTTAAACCGGCGTCCGGTTTACAGGGAGGGGGAGGAGGAAAGGGATTTTCCAAGGCAAGGGAAAGCGGCGCGATCGGGCGGGAGTTTAAATTAGATTTCGTACTTCCGAGACGCTACAAGAACCTTAAAAGAGGAGGTAAGCGTGGACAAACGTCCTCCATTTTACCAGAGCTACCAGAGTTTCTTCTTAGTTTCTCCGCTCTATTCCTTTCTTTCCCTTTCCCAACTCGTTTCACTCGTTTCGTGAAGAAAGATCTTTTAAAAGGGGGTATCTTTTAAATTTCTTTTTTTTTTTTTTTCTATTCACCATAGTTATTAAAATAGCTTCGTATAGTTTTTTCTTTTTCAATCGACAAGAAGACGTTTTAACGTTAAATAATTAAACGTAAAGTTGGAATGGAAGATTCTCTTTTTTCTTAATATTTCGTTTACGCAGTTATGATGGTGAAACAATAAATTATCCGACTACGCGAACTACGAGATAAATAATAAATATTTTAATATCCCTCTCAATTTCGAGCGAATATTTTATGTTAATGTATTTAATAACTTGTTCTAACTAATTTAATACCAAATCAATTTTCGTGAAGGAATAAACGCTAGGATTAATTTCCCTGTTTAGATTTTTGTTAATCCTTCTAAAGCTACTTCTTCTCTTCACAAACGAAGATATATATATATATATATAAATGACGTACGAAATTAAATTTCGTCGATATTCCAAACATTTTCCAAACATCCCTTATATATACCAATCACATCTCTCCCTCTAATAAAAATATTTACCTCGTTATTTCACTAAGAGGGATTGTAACGTTTACTCGTTATCGAACTTTTTCTTCGTAGTCGTTCCCGATAGAAATTCGAACGAGGGGAGGGGGGAAGAGTGGTAAAAGAAGCGCGTTCTTCGTGTATATATATGTATATATATATATATATATATAAAGGGAGAGGAGAGGGGGGAAAAAAATGAGGGAAGCACAGAACAGGCGTACGCAGAGAAAAGTTTTCGCCAAACCGGATACAAGGAAGTTCTACCGTATTCGCGCATCCGGTGCTATAAATCTCGGTCTCTTCCCGCCTTCTCGTGCCCGCTGGCCAAGTCACCGAGCCCTCACTCTGTCCGACGAATAAATTTGCGATCACAACCTTTTTCCAGTTCACCGTCTTTCCCGATCAATCGGTCGGTTCTATCGATTCTAGGCGACGAGGAATCGTCGTACGTGATCGACAGCCGCATAACACGGAACGCTTGATCCGTCGATACTCACTGCTTTACCGATCGATCTATATCGTGGAAATGTACATTGAATTTCTTAAAGGCGTTGCGACGAGTCGAAATCGCGTATAAAATATCGGTTTATGTTTAAATCATCACGTTTGCGTTAAGATTGATGAGATAAAAGTAATTTTAAGGAGTGTTTACGATAATGATGAATGATAATCAATGTTTCAGGTTCCGGTAGATACAACAAACGTGGATCATTGGATCATGGATTTCTGCAATATCGACCGAACACTTTTTTTAAATCAGTGGTTCTCACTCCATGAAGAGAGAAGAAGAATGCTCTCTAATTTATTTTATTATTTTAATATAAGATTTGCGTTATCAAATTATTTCATCGAGGATATTAGAGAGTAATTCTATATTAATACGGCAAATTATAACAATATTATTTATTATTTTTATATTTTATATTATAGTTTCCTTGCCTCAAATGAAAATGAAAAAGAAGAGATATTTTTACAAGATATTTTTAAATAAAGAAAAGCAAAAAAGAGATTGTAATAACTTGTCAATCATATATATATATATATATATGTTATTCCTGTGATTCTTTTTTCTACTCGATTATCATCACATAAAAAGAAATTATAATCGTTCGGTAATCCTATCGAAACTTTTTCCTCCTCGAGCGGATTTTCTGCGTAGACAACGGCACAAGATGAGTATTTATGAGTTATTGATGACACGGACGCTTTCAGAATCTTATGGGAGGATCGTATAATAACGTAATTAACGACGCGTTGACAAATTGAATCGGCGGCGAATGTATTCTTTTCACCGTGGCTGTACCCCGGCTGTGCTCTCGCCATAAATATTTCATGGCGGTCGGGCGTCCCCGTGTCCGTGGAAAATCGTAGAACGTTCAATGATCATCCCCCAGCCGCGCACGACACACCCTCGAAAAATCTTCACGAGGAAACCATGAAGAACCGATAATCTTCCATCGATCAGCATCAGAGAGGATGGAAGGAAGCGTTTCTCGAAAATGGAAATCTTCTTTAGAGGGGGGGGGAGGAAAAAATGAATTCGGTATAAAAGGCATGAAAGATTTGTCTGGAAATACACGAATAGATTCCAGACCTATCGTGAAACCGAATCGCAGCCAACAACTTTTTCTCTTTAATTGGTTTGATTTATTCATTTAATATAGGATAAAGAAATTGTTTCAGCGTACGAAGAGAGAGATTATAATTAAGAGATATTGATGTTTTTTAAAACTCCGTTTAAACGTGTCACGGCGATAAAAGAGATTAATAAATTATATTGTTGTTTCATATTGTTGAAAAAAATAGAAATTTCGTGTAATACGATTCTCGATTTATTTAACTATAATTTGCAGAAAATGAATGTTTCTACAAAAGAAGTTGAGAAACACTGTCTTGGAATGAACAACGTTGAACGTTGAACAAACCAGATTGAATCAAATTGCCAAGAATCCATCCACTTTATTCTACAACAATCTAATAAAATACGTACGCATTTCGATAGATGCATATTCCATTTCCATCCACCCCCCCCCCTTCCCTCCCTCCCCACGTCACAAAAAACCGGCAAATTCTCTTCTACGCTTGTCAAATTTCGAAGTAACGCCGAAATCTCAAATCTCGAAGAACGGGGTTTAGATAAGCGCCCCCCTACAGGAAGCCATTAACCGGAGAGAACGGCGTGAAAAGCAAGGAGAATATTAGAGCGATCCGGCGATTGGCTTCGATGCAATTTCGCACGGTACAGTGGCGGCACGTTGGGCGAAGGTGTTAAATTCACTGGATGTACGTCGGACGAGCCATTCTGGGGTAGCCGACAAATCCGATCGTATTTTCATCGACGCCAAATTGGCAATATCCTCGCCGGTGACGATTCCTGAATTATGCATCAGCCACGGGGACAGTCGCTTCGCTTCGCTTCGAAGTTTATCCATCCCGCTCGTTTCCATCCGCAGCCTCGACCCGTTCGACTCACTTCCACAAGGGGTAGAATTTTCTGCCCTCGCAGCTTCCACCCTCGCGACCACCCCCGACCCGAAACACCCTCCGCCGCCTTCTCCGCCGCCTCTGCCATCCACCCACTCCTCCTCCTCTTGCACCGTTTCCTCCTGCACCGCTTTTCACCCCACTGTTCTCGATCTCGCTCGCTCTCCCTTCCTTCGGGCCCTTTCTCCAATGGAAACGTCACTTATTGGTCGAACGAAAGGGAGGAAAAAGAGAGGACACCCTCGAATCCGACCAATCACGGTGAACGCCCGTGATAATGCTCGCGATATTTGCCCGTGGTACAGCCATCGGCAAAAGTGTCGTCTTGTTTTTCCAAGAGATCGCGAACGAGGATCAAGAGGATTCGTTGGAAGAAATTTTGATCATTGTTTTGTTGATCACTTTTAAACGTTATTTAAAACGTGATAAATAATAATTTTAGAAGGGAAATTGATTGATAGAGGGTAGAACGATCGTTAAATTGTGAATTGCTGATTCAGTGAATAGAATCATCATGAATATAGAATCAAAAGTGGAATATTTTTAAACGAATTAAATTACAATTACATTTTATCATATTTTCTCTCGTGTGATTTTTGGATATATTCCGGATGGTGGATATATAATAAAGTTATAACCGTACAAAAAGTTTGTAAAGTTATAATTATAATAAAAACAATATAATAATACAATATAATAAATAAATGAAATATATAAAATAAATAAAATGAAAAATAATAAATAAATTCAAAATAGTTGCGAAAGTTACGGAAATATAATTATTGCATATCAATATGTACAATCATGATTGCAACTATATTCTTTTACCATGCATCTTTGTTCTATTGATTATAAATTAATTAAAAAAAAAAAAAGAAAGAAATGAAATTAAATAGAAAAAGAAAAGATAGATCGTTAATTGTCCGTGTTCGCGAACGAGCAAAAAAATATGTAATGGCGCGTCTCGAACGTACAAGAAAGAGAGGTATCCGTGGATGATAATCGAATCGAGCGTTTGGAAACAGCCCTTAAGCCTTTACGATAGGGAGACAAACAATGGAAGGTAAAAGTAAAGCGTCGTTCTTGGAATGGAGGGGCTGCACACCCCAATAATAAAATGATAAGAACCCCGATGTATCCTTTTCCCTTTCTCTACATCCCTCTTTCACCCCTCTATCTATCGCTTCCTCTGTCCGGACCCGGCTCGTATATAAATGTCGATATTATTGTAACGAACCGCTTTTGATGGCAATTTCTCCTTCCGCGCTGTCTATTGCTCAGACGAGCCCACGCGATCGGACACTCGCAAATTCGTTGAATCGACCGAGGAATTTATGGTTTCCGCGTCGTGTGCGTGACAGAAAGAACGGCAAAGCGACGCGTCGAGATCTCGATTCGTTGTTTCGTCACTTATTTGCCGGTGATATAGATAGATCTTTTCGTTTGTCTTTTTGTTGTACGTAACGTTAATTGTAAAATTTAATTTAATGTTTCGTGTAAAAACTTACCAATCGAAATTGAATATCGTCGAATATCGAATCCCACTTGTCATCACATTTGGTATTCTATTTCTTCTTCTTCTAATAATAATAATAATAATAATAATAATAATAATCAGTTTCACTTCATTTGAATAAAAATATAATTTTGTTTTTTTAAATTTGGTTTAAAAGCGAGAATTTTAACTACAACTGAATTTATTGACGTATGATTTGTACAATTTGTCTTTGGTCTCGTTAGCGGAACTTTCACCTTGCGATTAGAGTACGTGGAAATTTTGATCGAATCACATAAGATAAATATTCAAAAAATTCTGTTGCTGCGTTTTCCCGAGCCTATCCCTTTCCTCTTTCTCTTCATATCCCTGTTCCTCTTCCTTCTCCGCAAAAATCAATCGGCAAATCCCTTAACTCACAAGGTCTATACAAATTTAGACTTGGACTTCTTTAAAAAAACCTAATCGAATGTATATCGAGTGTCGCGTGACCCAACAAAGCTCGTTTCGTCATCGTTCGAATTGGAGAAGGATAATGTTTCGAATACTCGGCCCGAAAAAAAAGAGAGAGAGGTTAGAAAACAGGCGAGAAAAATTTTTCGAGACGTCTGCCACGTTCCACGACGGCTTTTCACCTTTCTCACGATTGTCGGGTCTTTACGTGACAAGACTCGGCAGCACAACGAATGAATTTAAGACGAAAGCGCGACGTTAGACACACGACAAAGAATATACACGAACAGGTCGACTCGTTCGCCCTCTGCGTCCCGTTCCACGGATCGTTGGAGTGTGTTCACAAAGATGAGACGTCGTGTTGGATAATTTCGATTGGTGCTCGACCAATCCTTGGATCGAGAGCTGACGAACGAAACGACCGAAAATATCGTTGACGACTATCGATCCGTGAAAGGAAATATCAATTTCTGATAGACCTCATGAGAAATTGCAATTCTGTTGCATGTGCATCTGTTTGTCCATTTGGAAATTCTTTTTCTCTGAAAATTAAAATATTAAATGTATTGATAATTTACGAAAAATGTCGAATTTTTTTGAATTCAATATCCAATATGATTTAAGTTACGATGTCGTAATATATAGTCGCCTCGCCATAAGCTCAGCATTTTAATTCCTTAATTTACCAGCAGGAGGCTATTTTTAGAATTTTCTTTACGAAACAAAAAGTGTGAAAGAAATTTTTATCTTATATATGTTTATCATAAAAAAATTTTTAATGAAATACAAAAAAAAAAATTATAAGTGTTAAATATCTAAGTGTTTATCCATTGTGTTAAAAGTATTATTCCATAGAATAACTATAGAACGGTTATCACAAGAAATTTTTTAGAGGTTAGACAATTAATGAAATAATAAATCAACTTATTGAAAATATAAAACAAAATCCAAAAGAAATTATTTTAAAAAATTAGCATTAAAACTACAATAATAATGTATCTACGAATTAACGTTAACGAATATCAATCTTAAATAAAATCCATTCAAACGTAAATAATGAAAATTATTTCAAAATAATTTCAAATATATATAGATA